ATCAGACTGAGGGTTCCCTAAGGACAGGAATGCTGTTTGCCTGTTAAACTAAAGGCTCTCAAAAGATGAATTGTCATTCTGAGACCTAGGCCCCTGGAATTCACTAATTTCCAGACTCCTAAAAGCAAGTGGAGGGCAGATTCTAGAGTTTGAACTAGGGCAAGGTGAACCCTCTTCATTTATCCCTGTCCTCATTTGGAAGTCAAGATGGACAGGGAAGGTTTCTACTGGCCCCTGGAAGGCAGAGTCAAGGAAGCAGTGTAGAGGAAGTTTCCTTAATGGTAGCTTCTGGTGCTGGCCCTGCCATGACATCCAGGGGGCCAGGTCCTGCAGATAGGGCAGCCCTATAAGTCCTGCCTACCTGCACTCCTGTAAGGAGACTAGCCCTGCCCACCTGTGGTCTTCTAATAACCTCAGCCTAGGCCCAGCCCCAAATCCTCTTTAAAGTGGCTAAGTGGCTCTCACCTCCTCATGGTTCTTCCTGAGATAAGCCAGTTCCTCTTTGAGGTTCTCGATCTGCATCTCCAGGTCAGCTCTGGCCAGGGTCAGCTCGTCCAGCACCCTGCGCAGGCCATTGATGTCGGCCTCCACGCTCACGCGCAGAGCCTGCTCTGTCTCGAACCTGCGACAGAACCAGGAACATCACCCAGGCTGCTAGCAGCTCCTGGCTCCTCTGCCTTTGCCTTAATGGTGGTTTAAGATGAGCAGTCAACTTCTGTGCCATTTACTGCCTCTGAAAACCCACTGGAGGGTCAGCTATGGGTCAGTTCTGACTCAAAGTTACACAACAACAATAAAGTGTCAGATCATCCAGTAAGCAGGTAAGCAAGGGCTGCTTGGTGCTTATGTGACACTTTGTGCTGAACAATTTCATATATTCATCACATCAAAGATTCTGCTTCAGGGTATGGCTGCCATCTGTCTTCCAACCCTAGTGTACTTTTCTCTTTTTATATTTGCAATACTCCATAGGGAGGGAAAATCTGGTAAGCAAGCGAAGTGTGGCTTTACTTGTACTTACTAATCTGTAATGAGCAAAGATGTGGTGACATTCACATGGTCCAAGAGCTTACACAGGACAGAAGGGGCAGGAAGAGAAATGAACTCCAGCCTTGGGGTCCTGGGGGCAAGCCCAGGCCAAGCTCTAAGCCAACCCACCTCCTGACTCTTTCTTCTCTACCTTCTCTCCCCTTCTTGTATCACCTGGCTAATCCCAGACAGTTCAGGGTGACACCATGCGACCACCTGCTGCTTCCTGAACTAGGAGGGGGTTCTTAGCAGCCACCAGGATGTCCCTGCACAGTTCCTGAATCTTGCTTGGTAGAATAGAGAGGGTGATCAAAACTAAGACCCGCATCAAGATGAATTGGCAGAGGCTGCAGCAGTGGGCCCAAGCCTAGCCACGGTTGTGAGGCTGCAGCAGGACCAGGCAGTGTCTTGTTCTGTTGTGCACAAGGTCGCTATGAGACACAGACAGCTTAACAGTGCCTAACGCCAAGCAAAGTCCAGCAGGAGAGAATACCCCCAGCTCCTCCTCGGGCCTTCTCAGGTTACCCAAGCCTGGCACCTGAACTCACTTGGTGCGGAAGTCATCGGCAGCCAGACGGGCGTTGTCGATCTGCAGCAGGATGTTGGCATTGTCCACAGTGGCGGTGAGGATCTGGGAGATGGGAGAGTTATCAGGTCATGGGGTTAAGAAGCTCAGGCAGGAGGCGGTTTTCCTGCCTGAGGGCCAGGACTTGGCAGCCTCCTGCAGTGCCCCCACCCGTCCCACCCACCTTTCCCCTTCTCTGAGCTGTGATTGTTGGCAGAGGTGCCAGCTGAGCAGGAGGGTGATGAGCTGGAACTTGCCTCCCCTCTCCCAGGACTTGTCTCCCCAGCAGAGACCCCCATGCCCGGCTTTGCCTCAAAGGAGAAGATGTTGGCTGGGAGGACCTGGAAAGTCAGAGGAGAATCCCAGCATGCCCTTGGGGTAGAAACTGCTCCAGATGGGGGGGAATGCCCTCATTTCACAGGGAGGGTCGGGGAAGGAAAGTGCCCCCACTTTTGAGAGTCCCCAAAAGTAAGGCTAAGTGAGCCCTCACCAAGCAGCAGCTCCAAATTAGAAGACGTGGCCCCAATTAAGCCCTAACTTGGCTCTAGCAGTCAGGCCCACCTGGAGTGTCTTGGCTAGGACATTTAACTGAACCCCAATATTGAGGGGACTGTAGGAGAGGTGAGGAAGCCTGGAAGGTCTCCAGAAACTTCCTCCAGAGCCCATTCCTACCCAAGGTCTTACCCCTCACCTGTCACCTACTCCCGGCAGGTGTAGTCCCTCAAGCTCCCCATCACCCCAACGCCCACTCTTGCTGGCCCTTGCTCAAAATGGGAGAGGGACCAGGTACCCAGCCACCTGTGCACACAGCCTCCCACAAGCATCCTCTCATCTTGTCCACAACCACACAAGGTGGCATGATGCTCTGAGGAGAGGAAACTGAGGCACGAGGGTGCCCCAAAGTATGCTGAGCCCTGAAAGAACAGATGTGGGGCCATACGGGACCCCCAAAGAGGGACCCCAAAGGCCAAGCTGCACCAGGCTCCAGAAGACCCTCAGGCTGGTGATGGGGGTGGAGAGGTACCCCCCTGGAGCCCCTCCTTCCAACAGGCCCCACCTTGCTCTTCAGGTCTTCAATGACGTGGTAGTAGTGGCTGTAGTCACGGGCGGGCCCCGGGGCCTGCTTCTGGTACCAGTCCCGGATCTTCACCTCCAGCTCGGTGTTGGCCTCCTCCAGGGCGCGCACCTTGTCCAGGTAGGAGGCCAGCCGGTCGTTGAGGTTCTGCATGGTGGCCTTCTCTCCTCCCCCCAGCAGCCCGTCAACACCCCCAAAGCTGCTGCCATAGCTGCTGCCAGCGCCGAAGTTGTAGCAGCTGGAAAAGCTGCCGCTGCCCCCGAGGGCACTGGCCAGGCCGCTGGAAGACCCCAGCCGGCATGAGCCCCCACCCAGGCTGCCAGACAGCCTGCAGGAGGTGCGGGAGCCACCCCCCAGGCCCGAGGAGCCCTTGATGGAGCTGGAGGAGGTGAACTGGCGGATGGTGGTGGTCATGGTGAAGGGGGTCGCTGGTGCTGAGCTAGAAGGCTGTCGGCTCTAAGAATGCACGAGAGAGGCCCCGAGTGTGTGCTGCTGTCGGGGCTCGCCTGCCTCCTTTATAGACAGATCAGTGGGCGTAGCGATTACAACAGGCTCCATCCTCTGTTTCCATTCCCCTCACCTTTCATCACCGCTGGCCTGGGGCCAGCTCCCAGGTGGCTGGGCCTCCCCCCCACATGGGGCTTTGCCTCACTTCTCCGGAACCCCGTGCGTGAGCCCGCTCTGCTCTCAGGCCTCTCAGGCAGTCACCTGTGATTCAGGCGGGCCCTTGGGCTACGCTTTCCTATGACCTAATACGGAGAAGAGCAGGCAGGACGTCACCATCCCTGGGCCCTCCCAGGCAGTGCCACCCCAGCCCAGCATGCCAGGTCCCCGGTGTCTGGTGGGGAAACTGGTCAGACAGCCCCCCAGCCTGAGGCTGTTCTCCCCCACTACACACCACACCACTGGATGCCGGCTCTGGGCGGGGTGCTGGGGAGGCTGAAAGGACCTGGCTAGAGCCCAGGCTTCCCTGGAGAAGCTGGGCCTGACCCCATGGGCCGTCATACCACACACTAACCCCGTCAGGCCTCAGAACACTGTCCATTTGGCAGATAAGGAGACTGAGGCTTAGAGTGGACTTGTAGTGTATCCTTACTGCCCACCTACTTCCAGAACTGAGTGACAGGGTCATGGCCACCCATCAAGGACCTAGGCCACACTGGGGCTCCCACGATGAAATCCTGAGACCCAGGGACTCACTCTAGGGGCTGAGAGTCCCTCTGGTCAGCACAAAGGCCTGTCCCCATCCCTGGGACCCCTGATGGCTCCGCATCCCCTTGTAGACCTCCTCTCCTCTCCCCTCCCCTCATATTCAGGGGATCCTGAACTGAGTGGATAAGGAGGATCTTAGCTTTCCGATAGGGAACTGAGCGGGAGGTGGTAGTTGCTTCCCTATCACCCCAGCCTCCATAGAGACCCCACCAGCCTCAACATGAGTCTTTTCAAAGGTGCACCCTGCCATGTCCCATGGCCCAGCCAGCCCACCACCCTAAGCCTAGGCCTGTGTCTCAGGGTCCCAGCAGGCCTGTGGGCGGAGTGTGGTCGTGTCCCAAGCTGTCGATGGCTTCCACCTCCCAGACAGGCCCAGACAGCCCCACTAGCATCTGAGAGATTCTCCAAAAGCCTAGCAGCTGCCAAGCCACCAAAACAAACAGGAAGCCCCCCACGCTGATACACATTGGCTGCTCCACCCCACACACCCCTCCGACAGAGGGCAAAGCCAATCTGGTTTCCCTGAAGTTGCTCTTGACCACTCCCTGGGAAAGCCCTTGGCCTAGGCCCTCTTCCTCCGCTCTCGAACCCAGACCAGCCCAGCCTGAAAACAAGCTGTATCACAGGTGTGGTCCCCAAGTAGCAATGGGACTTCCCAGGAACCAGCCTCAGTTAACAGAGAGCCAGGGCCTGACACACATTCCCAGACACACTGGGCTGTTCCACCCCTCCACCTTCAACTCTTCCACCATCTTGCTTCCCTCTCTTTCTCCCAGAAGCTCCAGGGTGGATGGGGTGGGCAGACTAGGTTGCCAGGGAACACAATGATACCCAAATACTCAATAAACTCTCCCCTCCGCAACCCTTCTCCCTCAACCCACACCTTCCCCTGCCAATGACCAGACCACGCAGGGTGTCGAACATCGGCAAAGCTTTAATAGCAATCACAGGGCACATGCAGGGGTCCCCTCGGTGAGGGGCTGCAGGAAGCAGGCACAGAAAAGCCCCTCGGGGTTGGCGGCACAGGCCAGCAGTCATGGCAGTGGCAAGTGTGGTGGAGCTGTAGGCCAGGGTGGCTCCTGGACCCCAAGGCTGGGCCGTCACCGTGGGACAGCTGCCTCAGTGAGTGGAACGGTGCACCTGCTCGCGGGAGGAGACCACCTTGCCGTCCTGGACCTCCTCCACAATGGTGCGCACTTGGCGGCTGGTCATGGTGGCTGCGGGCACAGGAGGCCTCAGACAGGAGCCCTGCCTGTATCTCCCCAGGCTGCCCTTCACCAGGGTCCCCAGTCTCCCTGGGGTCTAGGAAGGATGCAGTGGGGTCTTACCTTCCCGGGTGGGCTGCGAGGATAAGGACGAGGAGTACTGGGTGGCCAGGCTACAGGAAGAGGGGACATGTCAGGCCAAAGAGGCCAGCCAGGAGCCAGGACCCCTGCTCCCCTCCACCCCAGGAACCATCCCAGCCAGGAAGAGGAGGAGCAGTCAGGAGGCTATGGGTGGGAGGGGGGAAAGTACCAGCAGACCAGAGAGGAGAATGGGAACCCCAGAGGGTACCATTGCTGGCTACCCCAGAAGTCAGAAGGCACAGGGCAGGAGCAGGGGCATGCCAAGGGAAGGCCTGGCAGCACATGATGGCTGTTAACCAGGGATTTATAAGAGGCTGAGCAAGTGGTTTTTCCATATCCCCAAGGCCCCAACAAACAGACTCAATTAAAGCAGGAGGAACTGCGGTTAGATTCTAGACAGACTTCACTCTTGTTAGAGAGCAAAAAGCTAGAGTTGTGTGACTAAGCGTCAGTCTCTTGGACATTCTCTGTCCTCTTCACCAGGGACCTGATCAAACTTCCTAACCCCCAAAGGGCCACTCACTCCCAACCCTTATCCTGTCCCAGTTAATGGCATCACCAGCCACAAAGTCATTGGAACCAGAAACCCGGGCTGTGGTTAGCTTCTCCTGTGTGGGTTCATTCAGCGTTTATTGGCTGGGAATCTCACTCGCCCCCGCGTCCAGGCATCCAACCCTGATAGTTTCGCTATCACATATCTTGTGCCTGCACCATCTACTTCTCTAGCCTTCCCACCAGTCTCCTCCACCTCACCTTGTCCTCAGCCACCCATTCCTCCTCCCTGTGTAGCCAGAGTGGCGGTGGTGTTGTGTGCCATTGAGTTGCTTGTGACTCATAGTGACCCTATGTACAACAGCTCTGAACCCTGTTCTATTCTGTGCGCCTACCCCCATTATCCCAGTCACTGAATCAATCCATCTCATTAAGGATCTTCCTCTCTTGTGCTATCCCTCCACCCTCCCAAGCGTGATATTCCTCTCCAAGGACTGGTCCCACCTTGCAACATGCCCAAAATGTGTTAGATGGAGCTTCAGAATCCTTGCCTCCAAGGAGCAGCCTGGCTTCACCCTCTCCAGGATGAACCTGTTTGTTCTCCTAGCAGTCCATGGTATATTCAATACTCTTCTCCAGCACCACAGCTCAAAGGCATCCCTAGTCATTATCCAGCTTTCTGATGCATAGCAAGTAACTGCAAAGACTGGTCTGGATCAGGTGCACCTTAGTCTCCAGACTGACATTGTTGCTCTTCAGTATTCTGGAGAGGTCCCTGATAGTAGACTTTCCCAGCGCAATCCGTCTTTTGATTTCCTGGCTGCTGGTACCACAAGTGTTGATTGTGGAGCCAAGCAAACTGAAGATGTTAGCCATCTCAATCTCTTCACCATCCATCACAATGCTGCCAATCAACCCAGGGGTGAGAATCTTTGTTTTCTTGATGTTGAGCTTCAATCCATATTTACGGCTGCAGTATCCTATGACCATACTCTTCCTCTGCTCAAAAACGCTCTATGGCTCCCTATTTGCCCACACACTCCAGCCCAGACTTTTTTTCTTCTTCTTCAGGATTTGATTCTTCTTCTTCTTTTTTTAAAAATCTTAATTGTAACGAATATTTACAGAGATTTTGGATTTCCGTGTGTTCACTGTTGCACTTTGCTCCCTGCCCACCCCTCCCAGCCCAGACCTTTTAATGGGGTGCTCCAGGCTCCTCTCATCAAGCCAGTAATCTCAGCTTCACCCTCAAAACCTTACGACTGTATCCCATTTCCAAGTACATCCACCCTTCTGGGCCTTGGCTAGTGGTGTCCTCTCGGCTCGAATGTCCCTCCCGCGATGAAGCGGCTGCCCCTGGCCCACCCAGCAGGACCCCCCACTCACTGGGCGTCCTCGCCCTCCAGCAGGCGGCGGTAGGTGGCGATCTCCTGCTCCAGGCGCGTCTTCACGTCCAGCAGCACCTGGTACTCGTGGTTCTGACGTTCCATGTCACAGCGCAGCTCACACAGCTGCTGCTCGATGCTGCCGATGAGGCTCTGCAGCTGCGCCAGCTGCGCCCCGTAGCGCGCCTCGGTCTCCGCCACGCTGCCCTCCAGCGAGGCTTTCTGGGGGTCGATAGACGGCACTGTGAGACCCTCTGCTGGGCCCCTTCGCCCGAGGTGAGCACCAGGGGGAAGTGGAGCATGGAGGGGCCCACGTGGGCTGCGCGGGGAGGTCAGGCACCCCGGGTGGGATCCCCTGGGCGTGGGTGAGAGGGCAGGCCCCTACCATGCTGAGCTGGGACTGCAGCTCGATCTCCAGGTTCTGCACCGTGCGGCGGAGCTCCGTGATCTCCGTCCTGCTGCTCTGCAGGGCCTCCGTGTTGGTGGCCACCTCGCGGTTCAGCTCCTCGGTCTGGAAGGTAGAGCAGGTCGTGGGGAGGGATTGTGGAGCGGGGACGGAAGACAGCGAGCCCTAGAGCCCTTGCTCACCAGACAGCCTCCCCCTAGCCTCGCTGGCCTCTGTGGGCCCCAAAGACAGGCAGAGACATCCTTTGCCTCACTGAGTTTAGTGGAATTCACCTCTCAGCAGCTGCTTGCAGCTAAAACTCCTACTAAGGCACAGCATCTTGGCGAGCTCTGGTGGTCTAGTGGCAAGAAGCTGCTCTGCAATCCCAGAGGTGCACAGTTTAAATCCACCAGATGCCCTGATGAAGAAGGAGGGACAATCTCTTCCTGTACCAGTCAGATCTGATTTGAAGGTACACAGCATCTCAATGGTTGAGTCTGCCTGTCACGGTCCCTGCAGCATGCGTGCAGCATGGCAGGGTCTTAGTTTGTGACTGGGTTAATGACTACTAGGGAGATGCGTGTTTTAATCCAAGCACACACATGCAAAGGCAAATGCCTGCTCTGGGAAAGGCCCAGACAATGGGACTTTAGGGACCCAGGTCTGGTCCCCAGGCCACCAGGAAGGGTTGTGTGAGCTTTAGGCCTCCCTGAGCCTCATAGCTTGCATCTAAAACGTGAGTTCTTGGTCCAACTGGTTTCCGAAGGTCCTTCCAGCTGGGACACGGGTTCCAGCCCGCACCCAGTGCACGTCCACACCCGTGTGCACACCTGCTCGCTCGCGGCCACCCACCTTGCTGAAGAACCAGTCCTCAGCGTCTTTGCGGTTCTTCTCTGCCATCTTCTCATACTGCTCACGCATCTCGTTCAGAATGCGGCTCAGGTCCACGCCAGGGGCAGCGTCCATCTCTACGCTGACGTCCCCGCCTACCTGCCCACGAAGGGCATTCATTTCCTGGGAGACAGAAAAGTGGGTGCTCATCCAGGGCTGTCTCTCTTGATCCCGGGGAGACAAGTGTGAAGATAAAAGACAGACACACTAGAACAGCAGCAGTTCACCCTCACGGTGGAAGTGAATGTTGCCACTTCTCACATAGACAGGGCTGGGGATAGCCACAATCTCTCCGTTACACACGCTGGGACAGAGTGGGTCTGATCAGGAGAGAAAGATGACAGGTCCCCAAGCTAGGTGATAATGAGTTCACCCTCCCTCACCATCTTGTCTACCACCCGGCTTTCCAACAACAACCACAGAGAATGATTGTGCGGGCTCCACTGATGTTGGCATCAGTGGTCACAGCGTGGACTACAATCGTGGCACATCAAGGGGACATGGCAGGCCCCATATCCTCCTGCACCATCACGTGGCCTCCTCAAGCCTAAGTTTCTTTACTGAAAAGGGGAAGGAGGATCCTTCACAGAGTGAAGCTACTATCAGCCAAGATAATTGCTGCAAATCATCTGTAACACACTGAGCCAGATGTCCATTGTTATAATGACTAGCACTGTAATTAATTATAATAATTAGCATTGTATGTTCTTAGGCTGACTCGCTCATTAGATAATTAACTGCCACCTCAGAGAAGGGTGAGCCTCAAGGAACAAGGGAAGTGTCTCAGGGGGAGAGGCCCCTCCTGGCTTCATCCAGAGCCCTCTAAAGGTCCTCCAAGAATAATTCAGGACCCACCAGAGTTAGGAACGGGACCAAGAGTATGGCCTGAACCCAGGAAGATTGTGGAGCCCCCACCTCACTCCCAGACAGGTTTCTCTGCCCTCCCTTGCAGTTCCCACCTCCTCGTGGTTCTTCCTGAGATAAGCCAGCTCTTCCTTCAGGCTCTCGATCTGCATCTCCAGGTCGGCTCTGGCCAGGGTCAGCTCGTCCAGCACCCGGCGCAGGCCGTTGGTGTCGGCCTCCACGCTCATGCGCAGGTTCAGCTCCGTCTCATACCTGAGAGAGGTAGAGGCATGAGACACATCTGCCACAGGGACACACGGCTATCTTCAGTGGGGTAGCACTGGGGCCTTCACCGCACAGCTGGACAGCCCAAGACTCACTTGGTACGGAAGTCATCAGCAGCCAGGCGGGCATTGTCGATCTGCAGCACGAGGCTGGCATTGTCAATGGTGGCTGCCAGGATCTGGAGGAGATGGCAGGAGAGTGGGCAAACATCCCCAGCGGCAGCCCCCGGCACAGCCCCCAACACCCTCTCACAGCCCTTTGGGTAGTGAGTCAGAGTGAGGTCAGTGGGGGTGGAGGAATCCTACAACCTCCTCTTGGTTGTTTTGGGGGCTGTCAAGTGGATTCCTGTTCATAGCAGCCCCACATGACAAAGTAGAATTGCCTCATACAGTTTTTGAGATTGGAAAAGGAGCCCTGGTTGTATAGTGGTTGAAGCGCTGCAAGCCAAGAGGTCAAGGGTACAAACCCACCAGTAGCTAAGCAGGAGAGAAATTCCTCCATAAAGATTTACAGCCTTGGAAAGCTTATGGAGCAATTCCACTCTCTTCTATAGGGTCACAGCGAGTTAGAACTCATCCCGTAGCACTGAGTTCGGTCTTTGGAGTCTACTGGAACAGATAACCAGGTCTTGCAGTGAGCTGCTAAGTGGGTTTTAACCACCCAGCCTTTCCAGTAGCAGCCAAGCACTTAATCTTCCCCACAGGGCTCCTTTCTTATCTGAGAACTCACTGGAAATCACAGGGACCCAGCCAAGGCCCAGATCCTACCAAAGACACCAAGGTCTAGGAGAACCCTAGATCAGGTCCAGTTCCCCACCTGGAAACCCAGCCTGAGGGTCAGTTTGTCACTGTGTGAGGTCTCAGTAGGCCAGCCCTACCACCCCCTCCCTGCTCAGTGAGGGGCAGCTGTGAAAGCCCAGGGGAGCAGGTGGTGAGGGTGATTCAGAAGCCTGGCAAAAACAGGGGGTTGTGGGGAGGTGCTGGCTGACCCCACAGCCTGGGAGCACTGACTCACCAGGACACCCCTGGGCTCCCCCAACCAAGCCCCATATCTGATCTGGCACTCCCAGCAGCTCTGCTTCCCCAGACATTGCAGGAATTCCCTGCCTGGGGGAGGCTCAGAGCAGGAGCAGACAGAGCCCCTCACAGTGCAGCAGGGACTGGTTGTCCAATCAGAAGACTTGTCACCCAAGCCAAGGTGGCCCCAGCCCACCTGGCCCCAGCCTGGCTTTATACTCCTGTCTTTAGCTCTCACTTACCTCTGGGCCACCAGGCCCCCGGGACCCTCTCCTAAAGAAGGTTTATGCAGAAGACCCAAGTCCTGCATTTACAAAATGGCACAGCCGTATCCTTA